CAAGACTTTGTTTATTTGAAATCAGATGAAAACAAACTGTAACGGACCCTGCCGTGTTATCTATGATTACTATGCCTTACATTCATAATTTCAGCCGGAGGGAGGGGGGGCGGCGCTGCGGAAGAGCAGATTGCGAGTGAGAGGTGCCTGTCATCTTCCCTTTACAAGCTTCAAAAATGTATTTATCGTGTGATTTTGGAAATAAAAGTTTCATATTCTGAAAGCCAAGACTTTGTTTATTTAAAGGGGACCTATCATGCAAAATGCACTTTTGTACGTCTTTTATACATGAATATGTGTCCCCGGTGTTCCAGGGAACTCACCAAGTGTCAGAAAACACAACCCTCTCTATTTTCCTCCATACCCAAATCTCTAAAAAAGGGGCTGCAACGGATCTGATAAAAACTGATCCAGATTTGAACACTGTCCTGACGTCAGGACGGTGGCGCTATGGCTATTGGGCCAACTCTCCACCTATCAGGGGAATGTGGGGTTGGGCCACGGCCGGCCATTGCCGCTCGAAAGCACTGGAGACGCTGTAGTACATATGCCAGGCCTGTAAGTGGCGCTGTAGTCTGCCACAAAAGCAGCGAAGAAGACTTCCCGTGCATGGTTACCATGGTTACCCTTCTGTTTATTCTCCGCAGTGGCTTTTTTTCTCCCTCCCCGAGGCAAGCGTTTGCTCCTCCTGCTGCTTTAATTCAATGCAATCCCTCCCTGTCGAGGCAAGCACTGTAATTCTCTCCGGTTAGTCCACCAGCAGATGACAAACACCCACCTCTCCGCCTCTTCCAAGGAACGAGGGGACCGTGCGGCAGAGTTTCAGTTTCAGTTTCTTTCGCCGGTCAAGATGTCCGTTAAAGTTGAAATCTTCCGGACAAAATTAGAAAAGTGCCGGTCAAAGATCTTCTATTTATTGAGCTTTAAAACAAATGAATAACGACTCTATATAATAATAGGCTATAATAAAACACGGAAGATGGAGATCTATTTTTCTCCCCCTCTTCTGACAGCCCAGCAGCTGTTCAGAGCGCGCTCCCCTCTCCTGCAGGGGGGCGTGTTCAGATGCAGCTCACAGAATCAGCCCCCTGCAAAAACAGTGCTGGAGAACAGCAAATAGAGCGAAAACAAATATTTTTTACGCAAATCCACGTTTATTTCGACTGATTTCGATAGAGCGGGTCACATATTGAAATGAAGCTATTAACAGAATGAGTTTGACCAGGTTGTACAACAGAACTCTAGATGCAGTTAGTTTAGTTACAGACAATAAACCATATCTGTTGTAAATTCCCCTTGTTTTCCAACCAGTTGAGCCCTGAGCCTGTTTTTCAGGCCTCAGGCTAGAAAATGACATTCCCAGAACAATTGACTATATCTTCACTTCTAAAAGGGGTATATTAATAATCTTTTTTCTCAAAGCAATGATAAACCTGTGAGTTGGATGTAGAAAAGTCAGAATCAATATAGAATTGTTTTATTTTAAAGTAAATTCAGATTGAACATAGTATAAAAATGTAAATTATAGTGTCCATCCAAAAAAAAAACATTACTTATAGTGAAAACCACCCTTGAATGATGGGATAGTAGACTAAAAGCTTTAGGAATCCAAACTATAATATATAACAAGTACCCTGTATCAAGATTGATGCAAAACAAGTGACATTTGACCTTTTTAGAGAGGTTTAGAAAAAGAAAAACACTTCTGGGGTCATTTGGGTGCATTTTCCATATCTCTGGCACCCATCGGTCGATTTTGATGATTGACACCTCTTTTTAACCGTTAGAGCCAATAGAATCGAGGGGAAGTTCCTAAAATCCATCTAAACATTGCTGAATGAGTGATGCGTAGCCAGAATGCCCAAAACCGGAAGCTGTCATACACTCTCGTAGCAGCTAATATGAAATCTCCGTTATTGACATAAATATGAAGATGGATTGTCAGTAATCATTTCAAAGTGACACAGACACATCAGATTAACCTTCAGCAGCGTTTATATTGTTTTAATGCCATTGAACACAACTTCTGATCAGAAACAGCAAAAGGTAAGACAATGTCCCTTGTTTGCTACCTAAAGCTACGTTGTGTGATGTCTGGTTTTGTTTCCCATGAGTTCTGGTCGCTCAGTGATGTTACTTATATTTCTGGAATCTGTGGAATCTCAACTTGCTAATCGATATCTTGTTTGTGCAGATCCGATAAGTAATAAGGGTATTTTAATGTGAGTTCTTTGCTAAGTGCGTTAGCATTTTTTCGCTCAGGGCTAATTCAGAGCCTTTGTTATTACCCTTTTGTTTCGTTTTGCTAAAAATTGTTAATATTGTCTGATAGCTGAGTTTCTTCCCGTTAAGGCGAGACACGGCAGGCAAAAACATCGTTTTTCATGCACTGGTCAATTTTGAGATTTTGTGCTATTTTTCCATAACATGTTTTCTTTCAGGCTTTTGGAAGGAAAACGTACAAAATACACATTTAAGTGTTTATTTTACTATAGTTTGTCTATTTGCGTCTGTAGATTTCTCCTAAATTCACCAAAAGTTAGCATTCTAACGTAACATAAAGTACCGCGACCGCTGTTTGCACCATGTCATCAGAGAGAGCTTTGTTTTGTTTTTTATTAGCGTGTTAATATGGCGAAGTCACGCCCATCTACTTCCGGTCCATGGGACCTTATTTCGGAAAAATAATGTATTGAAGTCAATGGAGAGAGAAAACGTATCTTTCGATCCCGTTTGAATTGTGCCATGAATTACACATATGATGTTTGTCAATCTTAAAAAATAATTTCCATGTCAAAAAAGTCACAGTTTGTCGTAAAACTGTTGAAATATAAGACTATGAAAAATACGCAACTAGAAAGACCACAAATCCCAGAGTCGCGTAAGTGATGTCACAATTGTTTTCCTCCACTAAAATAGAGATAGCTAAGATAAAATAACGCCATATAGATATAATCTATCTATATGGCGCTGGCTAAGATAAGATAACTTTAACAAGATGCCTGTGTGCTTAGTACCAGGTTGTTATTATACCAGCAATGGGTCTTGCTCGTTCTTTCGCTTCCCGTCTGATGAAAGGACCAGGAGTACTCTGGATCAAGCTAGCTAGTAGCTAGCACGTTAGTTAGCATTACAGCCTTGTCATTTTTATTAGCCTTAACATGAAGTAACATTAAGTAACCCACAATGTTAAACAGTAAGAGTAGTAGTCATATTTCGTGAACCCTTTGAAGAGTACTGTCACCGGTGTGATCATTCTATAATACACAATTTAAGCCCGGGGGAGAAATGCTAACGCTAACGCTAGCAATCTTCTCTACTTCATGCTATCTGCACAAATGGTTGACATTAAACATTAAAACGACCAGGCAGTTCAGTGAGAATCAAAGGAAGGCAGGCAGGCAGCTTTGCATGACATTCTTCAGGACGTGTTTCATTGTGGTGATAGTGAGGGTAGTCAATCGTTTTGTTGACAAGACAGTAGTGACGGCCATCTTGGTGACGTGTGTTGTTGACCAGAGATGTAGTTCATTGAGCGTTTCACACAAACAAATGTGTTACTTCACAGTTTTACGACACTTTTTTTTTTTTTTGACTTGCAAAATTATCTTTTAAATTGACAAACATCATATGTGTAATTTGTGGCACAATTCAAACGGGATCGAAAGATAATCTTTCTCTCTCCATTGACTTCAATACATAATTTTTCCGAAATAAGGTCCCATGGAGGTCCACCGGAAGGGGAGGGACTTCGCCACTCTATACAAAATATTTAATGATTCTTGCACGTCATGGTGAATCAATGCCACAGCACTATGGATCAAAATGAACTGTTTGTTCTTATTATTTAATTATAATAAACGTTTAAAAGGGATGCTGAAATAACTCCCATCATGATAGTTTTAATGACTTTGTATACTGCAAGGTAGCTTGTGAATTTACTCCAGGTGGAACTAATTGTCTAATCTGATTTAACACTTGATTATATTTCACATCATTAATTCAAATCGGGAAAGTAACTAAAGGTATTAAATACATGTAGTGGAGTAAAAGTACACCATTTAATGTAGCCTACTTAGTTACTTTACACCACTTTTTCAGGGTATTTCTTCATACAATTTTGTTTGATTTATTTTATATATGTTTCTTTTCTTTTGTGATGCAGCGGCCATCAGAGTTCGGGAGGTGTTCACATCACACTTCAATGCAGAGGGAACGGTCCCATGGCAAGACGACGTGTAATGCACCAGCACACATTAAAAGGCTCTTTTAAGAGCCACCCACATACTATTGAGCAACCTCCTGCAACATTTCTATCCCAACACCACATTTAGGTCACCAATTCATATAATTATTTCTGTTAAATCCATGAATTATTGTTTTGTGAGGTAGTGCCACTTTCTGCTTTTTAAATGACTTTATGATTTTAGGCAAAGCATATAATAGAAGTCAATTTTGACTTCAAATGTAATAGAATTATGAAAATATGCAGTCTGTTATTGTGACGACCCCTCCACACCATGAGGGGTGCCGTCGGCTGTGTGTGTGTGCTTACAGGATCCAGTGCTGTGGGGCCGGCATTTGTCTGATGAGCTGCACCTGGGTCGGGGAGCCGAGAGCCAAACCGGATTCGTCCCTCGCTCTCATTCCTCTAGGCACTCTCTTCAAGCCAGCCTCGGGGGACCTATTGCTGGCTTCGTTTATTTGTTTAAATATAAATAAATTATTGATATATTGTCGCACCTCGTCTCCACTCTCAGGTTTTGTTATATGTAACACTTATATTTCTAGAAAGGATTATATGTGACAAGGAATACTCTGTACCATAAAGAAAACCTAAAGAAAAGTGTGTGATGGTGAAAGAATAAAGGAACATACGTGGGTAACATTAATCCAAGTTTTATTAATAAATTACAATTTAAATGATATACAGTGATTAAAACATTTTTTTAAAAGCCTGGTTTGTTCCCTTCAAAGATTGTCAACCCATGGCAGGTAATCTATTCAAATTCCAAATTTAGCACAACTGTGCTTGCTTCATAAATTGATCTATGAATTTTGAACTTCACGAAGTTCTTCTGCTGCGTTGGCAGTCTTTGAAGGGAAGGAAGCAGGCTTTGGAGGAAATGCTCATCCTCTGAGAGTGGGGCGGCAGGCAGAGCACCGGACCCCCGCATTGTCAGGGCCTCAAGGAGGCGTTCATGCACCTCCTTTTCGTTGTCTAGATTCCTGGGCCTTTTTCTTCCTGCATGACAAAAACATTTGTCATAGCATTTTTTAGTGAAGGTACAGCAATGCATCAATACAATAAAATGCAATCAAAACATTTGTTTTCATTTACATACCCCTTGGTGCTCTGCCTACACCACTAGGTCCTGCAGGGGCATCAGTAGGGACAGCAGCAGGGACAGCAGCAGAGACAGCAGGAGGGGCATCAGGGGCATCAGCAGTGGCATCATGGTGTTCCTCTGCCTCACTGCCCTCTGAAAACTCATGTTCATCTGTAAATATTGAAAATATAAGAAAGATGTATTTTGTATTCCATTGAGGCAAATATAATAATGAGATAATAAAATGGAACAGGTAATGTAATTCTAGATTTTGTGAGAATACAACTTTTTACAATTGCACTTGTATTATTATAATTACTTATTGATAAATTAAGCAGGTATAGCCTTGATATTCTCTTAAACTTTGATTTTTACATTTTTTTTGTTGATATTCTGTATGACTTTCCTATGCAGTGTGAATGAGTGTCTCCACTTGTCAACCAACCTCTCCCGTCTGCTAGAGATGGGCGAGTCCTGATTCATCCGGATCATTAACCCGGATCCTAGAAATGAGCTGGTCGTGACGAGTCTCCCCTCTCCATTAACCCGAGTCCTTGAGTCCCACACTTGGTGTGACGTACAAATTAAAACTATAAATTGCGTCACTCGCTACTCTCTTTATAACATGTAAAATCACATTACAACGTACCCCAGTCCATCTGCCTACCCTTTAGCAAGTAGGATAGCTGCCAGAAGTGATCGTTTGGCTCAGGGGAGGGGACGCGGATCAGTGAAACTTCCTGCAGACTCGTGGGGACTCAGAGGAGCCGAAGGCTCCTAACCGTAATAGCATAGCAGATCCAGAGATCCATACTCGTCATGTGCACGAGCATAGCCCCTCCTCCAGCACCCGGCTCCCGCGGAGTCAACAGCAGACTCGCAGATTCGCAGATTCGCAGATTCGCAAATCCTGACTCGCTGTGCAAAACACAGCAGACTCGTGCGGACTCGGAGCCGTAACCATATAGCAGCAGATCCAGAGATCCAGCAGACTCGTCGTCATGCACGAGTCAACAGCAGACTCAGATTCGCAAATCCTGACTCACTGTGCAACACACAGCAGAGCAGACTCGTGCGGACTCGGAGCCGTATATAGCAGCAGATCCAGAGATCCAGCAGACTCGTCCTCATGCACGAGTCAACAGCAGACTCAGATTTGCCAAATCGCAAAATAACCCTTTTTTTTGTGATCAACATTTTTTATTAAAGCAAAATACACTGTGTAGCGGAGGTTAATATAACGTCAGTTTAATAGATAGATAGATGGATAGTACTTTATTGATCCCAAATTGGGAAATTGTTGTTGTTAAAGCAGCATAAAAGGCATTTTACAATAAAACAAAACTACCAAATATACAAGAATAGAAAGAAAAAGAAAATATAAAATATACATGTCGAAATAGAAAATATACATGCAGATATTATTATATATATATATATATACAAATATATATATATATTCAAAATATATGGAATAATAATATGCTCGTGAAATGCAACAACTTTTCGGTTTCACCGATAGGATTTCTACGGTCTTGGTGATGCTGACTCATATGACTCATATGACTCGTATGATCCGGATCTCTTCAATGACTGACTCAGAAGACCCTGAGTCCGTAAAAGGATCCGGATTTGCCATCTCTACCGTCTGCTCCCTGTGCTTCACCTCCATACTCTGAGGTCCTGTCTTCCTCGACCCCCGACACCATATTGCTGGTGGTTTTCCTTGGGGTAACAAATGGGTCGAGGAAGGACAGGACCGCAGAGTATTTCCATTTTTTATTGGTCCCTGCGGCTGACCCACTCCTGTTATCTTCCTTCTCCCTCTTCCTTTCTTTGACATACGTGTCCCTCAAACTTTTCCACTTCCTTCGGCATACCTCCTCTGACAAGAAAAAAACGTTTACAAACGGTAACTTTTAACCGTTATCTGCCGTTAAACCGGCGGTTGAGCTAACTTGGTTAATGCTAATGTGTTGTTGGTATCTGTAATCAAGCAAACAGCGGATGTATATTTTGTATAACTTACCAGATATGCCAACTTCCTCGCTTATTTTCCTCCATGCGAGCTCTTTTTTGTTGCGGTACCGGTAGATATACGACATTGTATCGTATATCTCCGGGAACCCACTCACAGCAACAACTATTTTCTCTTCCATCTTTACAACTGATCAACAGCAGCACGTCAGAGCGACGTCAGAGGGAATCCCAACGCTGATTGGCTTCCGCGAGAATGCGTCACATGAATTTGACGCTCGAGTTGAAAAAATTGAACTCTCAATTGGCACCGTTCAATCGCCTCAATCGCGTGATTCGCGCCGCGTCCTCCGCTTCATGCTCGCCGTCGGAGCGAATTTGCGTCTGTCCGCGTCTCTGCATTGACTTTACATGTAATCGCGTCGCCCCCAAACATCGCATCGCGTCCGGTGTGAACGCACCATTAGCATACTAATTGGTGTCATTTTATTTTATTTTCATAACTAAATGGTTTGATATCTAAATGGAACTACGAATTTTTTTTTTTGTCGCAAGATATCTCAATTTCTGAACTGATCACAGTGTCTCCATAGGATGTCAGTCAACATGTCAATGTTTTGTTGATGTTGTAATGATATGATATTATGGTAAAACATCCCATAGCGCTGCTACTGTTGTGCCTTGCTCCAGAGAATAGAACTCATAACCTTTAACTAACACCTACAGCAGGAAATGATGTAAGAGTGTGTGAATGCCCTGTAACCTCCAGAGATCGTCAAAGAGAAATGAGTGTCAGACGCATTGTTATCACCTTTCTTTATGGAATCACACCGGGACAGCAGATGCTTTCTATGTACGCGTGTGTCTGATGGAGAGAATGTGTGTACTTAAAGCCACCTTCTATAAATCTATGGTAAATCTCGACAAAGGCTATATATGACTTTGAAGCAATTATCACACAGGACAGGCACTATGTCGACGCATAGAGTGGCTGGGAGTCAATTATCAATGTGTTGCTGCTTAATTTTCACTCCTGGTCTGAACTAGCACCTGACATCTTTAAACGCGTCAAGAAATGAAAGAAAGTGAGCTACAGGAAGACATGAAGTACTGAGGAAAGTTCTTTAATTTGCTAGAAAATATGCATTCGTATTGGAAGTGTACCTTTGTTTAAAAGTGTAGGTTTTAAACATTCTCCAAATATACATCTTTTTATATTTTTTAAATGTACAACTGCCCCCTTATTTGTACTATATTCAGCGTGGAAATACATAACAGTATGGCCAGGCCTTCCTGCATTACAATTCAGATACTGATCTTAATTTGAAGGGGGGCTCAATACTTATCAGAATTGAAGTTTGTAATGCTTATGCAATGAAACCATCAGCAGAGTGCAGCATTTATATAACAATAAATTAATTTTATTTAGATTAATAATTTTGGATAGGTAAACTGAAAATAGTCAAAAAGACTGAAATCATGTTGTACTATTAATCACAACCTCAAACATGGCAAAAATCGGAAAAGGAATGTGTAATACCTTATTAAATATGAATAAAATGTTCATGCTAAGTATATTATCCAGTCTTTATGTAACTAACACTTCATGACTTCAAACAGCAGCAGCCAAAATATTTAGTTACTCTGGATGGCATAACCCTGAGGCCTGTACTACGAAGCCGGATTTTCGCTTAGCCGGCTAACTTCAGGGAAAACTCGGGCTTTCCGGTCCTACGACGCTGGTTCTCTTTTAAGCGGGCTAGATCTCCATGGTAACTTATGCTGAGCGGCTAGCCTGCTCTGGGGCAGGTTAGGTTGCAGGCTAAGAGATCAACTCAGTGAAAGCACCGCCTGCTGACTAGGGATGTCCCGATCACCTTTTTTTGCTCCCGATCCGATTCCGATCATTTGATTTTGACAATCTGCCGATACCGATTTTTCCCGATCCGATCTTTATGCAATGCATTAAGAGAAAAAAAAGGTAACAGATAACGGCTGGTCATCCAACGCGATGAATTCAGCTATCTTGGCTGTTATTTTTTTGGCCTTTTCACTGTTCTGGGGCAGTTTCTCTTTCCTTTTAAAAGTCTCTGAAAGTGTCGGTTGTTTCAGTGCCGTTACCTGAGTGGCCGCTGTGTACTCGTCGTGTTGTTGTTGGTGTTTGTTTCTCAGGTGGCATATTAGATTGGTCGTGTTGAACGTAGCTCTGTTCTTTCCACCACGCGGAACCTCCGCCTTGCAAACATTGCATCTGGCTGTTACACTGCCTTCGCTTTCAATTTTATAATACTTCCAAACTCCTGACATTTTCTCTGTCCCGACTCCCGAGGCACCAGCTGAACGTAGCCTCTCGTTAGCTTACTGCTAGACACTGCGCCCTGCCCACTCTGTTGCCAGATTTGAGAGAAATAAGCAACCAGGTCTATGAAAACAAGCCCAAAAGAAGCAACACATACATGATGTTGTGTAATTTTAAACCAAAACTAAGGCCTCAGGATGACTTTAAGACGTGAACATGGTCATTTTTGTTTTGTAACATTAAATAAAATAATAAAAATATTTTCTAAAAAAAAAAAAAAAAAAAAAAAGAAATTCCCGATCCCCGATTTTTTTCTCCCGATTCCGATCTTTTGAAAATCACGTGATTGGCTCCGATCCCCGATCACGTGATCGGATCGGGACATCTCTACTGCTGACCAATCAGAGCTCCGTGTGCGGAGTTTAAAGCTATCAAGTCATATTACAGGATAGAGGGAATACAGAAAAACTGCCGTTGCAGGAAAGACGGCCGGCAAAAATCAACTGACTGTGTGAACGTGAAAATGAATAGAATATCCCCTCCCATCTTCAGAGCAATCTGACTATTATAACATTAGCGTTAAGAAAGCTTACTTAAATATCTGCCACAACATAAGTAACCGGATCAAAGTAACATTAAGTACAGTCCGCAGCACTGTGAGTGCAGACGTCGATGTGTCCCATTATCATTCATATCATATCACATCATAATGTATCATATATTTCCTTATTTGAGTCAGCTTCTTGAGCCGTGCAACACTCACAGTGTCACATACTGTATGCAGAAGTATTATTTTAAGCAACACATTAAGTTGACGAAACACTTGAGTCAAATGTAATTAAAGTCAGATCCACTCGTGTCTTGGACGGGGCAGTGATTTCATAAACCTGTTAATGTACGCATTCAAACACTTTTACCAGCTGTATTCACCTTGCAGGTGCAGCTATGTGGCTTTTATCCTGGATAAAGTGTTTAAGTCATGGATGTTTAAAGTTTAACTTCTTCATATTTGACTAATATTAAAGTTCACTTTTCATTCAGGAAGTATGACGCTGCGCTGTCAGTACGCTTGTCCATGTTTGTGATTGGTCGAATGCTCCAAATACCACCCCTTTCATGTGAACGCGCACCTAACTAGATAGGACACGGCTGGCTTGAGCGATCCACTTGATAACCAGCGTCGTAGTACAGTTTAGCGAGAGCGCGTATGTTTTGGATTAGGCCAACCGGCTAACTCAAACATATCCAGGTTAGGTTGAACCAGCTTCGTAGTACAGGCCTCTGGTCTCCGAAACCACAGTAATCCAAGAGTAATCTTTGATCAGAATATGTCCAGAATATGTCCAAACGCTAACCCAAAAACACATGACAACAGATGTTTGCCTCCTACAATAAACATCTAAATCTGAATAACATAAATGAAAGACATTTAGTTAGAACCCTCTACACCAGGGGTGTCAAACTCAAATACACAGTGGGCCAAAATAAAATAAAACGGTACTAGTCGAGGGCCAGACTGGTTCAATGTTTATTGCTAAACTTATTGAAATTAACTTATTGCACTTATTAAACCTGGAACTAACAAAGTTTAAATGATTGCCAACATTAAACATTAAATAATCAGTTGCATTAATTTCTCATGGCTCTATCTGCAGCTATCTGAGTCATTTCTTATGATTACATTTTTCCACAGGCCAATAACAGCTTCAAAAAAACAATTTCCCTCAAAGAAAAAAACAAACATGCCCTGTTGTCGTGAGAGAAAAAGTGCAGAAGGAAACATCCATTTAAACTCAGTTTGCTGCTCTGTGATGCTAGTTCAAGCCAGATACTTGGCATCTCATCTTAGGTGCAAGTTCATCAATATTTGGGCTCAGGCTCTGAGCTGAGGAAACCCTCAGGATTGAGTGAAGGTGTGCGTGCAATATACCGGCGGGCCAGATCTAATAGTAATTAAAAATTATCCTGCGGGCCGAAATTAAATCTGATTTGGCCCCCGGGCCTTGAGTTTGACACATGTGCTCTACACATTTAAGAGCGGGCTTAATACCTCCCTTTTGATAAAGCCTATTGTTAGGGCTGGCTCAGGCTTGCCTTGATCCGCCTGTTGCCTTACACTCAAGAGGAAAAATCAATACTCTCTACAAAAAAGAGAGACAACGAACAGAAAATGTGCTTAAAACTATAGAACATCACCACAAATAATTTCACACTACAAATTTAGAATGATTTACAAAAATGAAAAGGAAGCCACAGATAGAATAAGTAAACTAAGACATCAAATCTTTTGAAGACAGTTATAGGTCTGGAAAATACTTGGCCAACAACATTAAGTAACATAAAGACAAATCAACACTTTTCAACAATTGTTAACTCAGCAGGCAAGATTGTTGAGACACCTGAGGCACCTCAACAAATAAAACACATCAAAAGAAATTGAGACATCCCTGAGCAATATTGGGTTATTAATACGTAATGAAGACCAATCAAATGCACTTGATCCACCAATTGCAATACCATTACAAATAACTCTGGTTCTATCAACTCCGCTGTCTGAAGAGATGTAAAATGTCCATGTCAGAGTTCAGTACCTTCCTCCATGTTTCTCTCCCCGCCACTTCTTTCTGTTTCCGTTCAAGTGAGCGCTGCAGCAGTCTTAGGCCCGCCCCCTAAGCTCTCATTGGTTGAGACGCCTGATGACGCCCATCCTAAGCCAATAGAGTGGTGCAGTGATGAGTCCTAAAACCCGGAAGTGAGTTAGCATTTTACCGCTTCCGGTTCCCTCGTCTCAGAGTCAACAGTTTGTTTTACATGATTTTGGAAAAGCTT